TAGTGTTAAAAGCAGTTGCCCAATCTTTCCCTAAAGTTCAGTGTGAATATGAACAGGAGCAGGGTTGTGGTATAGACCTGTACTAGCTCCTTCTTCTTGTTTCCAGATGCTTTAAAAACTTGGCTTTTCAGGCCATACTGACCTCAGCTAATAAAATTGAGCAACTTTTAACTAAAAAATGTTTTTGTCTTTTCACCTAAGCTAAAAATGAAGAGTCGATTTGATTATTCTATCCAACTACTTGTCTCCTTTCCAGCAGAACACACACGGCAGTCTCCTCTGACCGTGGTGCTGCTAAGGGCCTAAACCCAGGTCTCTTTCACAGCATTTTATCGCTGTGTAAGTTGCTCTCTCCAACAGCTTTCCACTGTTTTTTAATTAATACTAGTGTGGAGTGCAACCATGGTAAGTAGGGAGCAGAAGAGAAAAGGTTTTCTATGTAACTATTTGGTGTAAAACATTTTAAAAAGCAAGTACATCATGGATGTATTTGTTTAAAAAATCTCCCCCAAAACAGACTTCATAAAAAAGACTTTTCAAGCACTACCTTTTTCAAGGCAATGACTCTCTATATGCAATCATTTGTATTATAATTGCTAAGAGTGAAAAAAAAAAAAAAAAAATTTTGAGGAGCAATTACTCAAACCCTTTGAAAAACAACTTGGGAAATGCTCAAAATTATAATGAGTAGAAACAGCCTAAGCTCTAAGAAGTTTATCTTTGTCTCATCCACGCATTCCCTCTCATGTTTAAATCCCTAGAAATGCAGACATGCGAAATGGATTGCCAAGGTTTCTGCAGAGCTCATAGTTTAATTCATCCCTCTCCAGCAGATGTATCATGCCAGTGTTTTGTTATTGATTCTTGGGAAGCAGCTACCACAGAGCGGACATTGCTGGAAGTTTGGACATTCACAATACCCTTACACCTCCATGGTTACACAGGAGAGCTGTGCTCTGAATCAAATAAAGGGCACTTGCAAGAGTACTGCAAAGACTGCAACCTGAAGAATTATGAAGGACAAATATCTAATCCCTCCCCTTGGTTTTCAAAGCTCCAAAGGTACAATTTGGTCCTATTTAAACTTAAAAGCATTCACTATATGCAGGAAGATATAACCTGAATCCAAAGGCGTTCTCCTTCTAGGGCTTTCAGGTACAGCTTTCTGCATCACCTTTGCTGGCCAAAGTGATGCTTAGAGCAGTCTATTACATTTACCCACCAACAGTGATTTTGATTAATTCCTTTGAAGTCCATGCTGTCTTCATGAACAGTAAGGGCTTGTCTTTTCAGTCTTGCTGTTTAGGCAGGAGCACAGGTCTCTGCCTGTTACCCAGCTATCCTTGCCTTGTTCTGTGTTTTGCCCTAACGCTGCCACAGTAGTGCTTGCTGTTCTTAAGCTGCACAGATGTGTCACAGCTTTAGACTGAAATGCTTTGGTCATACTGGCTTTTGCCCCAGAAGGACACAATTATCCACACACCAACAGTTCCCAAACTGTGGCCTGTAAAGCCAGTGAGAGCCCTGTAGCAGCAAGCTGCTTTGGAGCTTAAACTATAGACCTGAGAGAAATTGAGGATTAAGATAGTTGCCTGTAGTCCAAAACATTTGGGAATGAAGCAACTTAGAAATGAGTTCAAAAATGAGCTCATCATTCTTTTATGTCAATCTCTCCACCCCTCTGCTTAACCACCACAGCTGCAAAGTTGTTAGTCCACTTCCACCCCTGCATTTTCCTAAATGAGGGGATACCACTCCCCTGTAAAACACCATGAACAGAACAACTCGATAATCAAAGTTGACTACAGCAGTCATGGTATAAACAGCTACAGGTCCTGTTCCCTGCAGAGCTGTACCAGACTCTCATATCACGCTGGGAACGCGTCAAGCGCAAACTGAGTAAAGTCACGCAACACCTTCACCTCTTCATTTAGTTAGATTTTCTTGTTCAGGCTGCTGGAAACATTATGTCTCAACTACAGGGTTAAAAATAAATGCTTTCATCACTGACTCCTAGTTCACTAGAGGAAAACCACCCTAGAAAAGCCAGTACAGTCTCCGTGCAACCCTTCTGCCAGCACTTTGCTGCTGTTATCACCAACATCACTCCACTTGACCACCATCCTTCCCGCAGGCAACCCACTCTCACGCTTGCCTATAAAGTTTGGAACCAAAGCTGTTTGACCAGTTGTTCCCATTGTTTGCAGCTTTCACGTCCCCACAGCTCCTTCTTGGCTGCAAATGTAATCTACCTTTAGCAGACAGCTGCTTAGTGAGAAGTTGAAGGTTCTCAGTGAACAGCCAGCAGGCTCATTGTGTGATCAGGGCTGTGCAACAATTTGTATTTTCACTCAACTTCCTAAAATAAGTCTTAATTTTTTAAAAGGAATACAATTTATTTTGTCAAGCTTGAATGAAAACTTTCCTTGTGACAGGGCTAGGAGAACCTCAACAAATTCAGCTTACATTTCCCATACATGTTACTAGCAGCTGTCTCACTGAAAGAGTTTGGTGAACTGAAGTAGGTTTTGGCCCAGTGCTCCGATTCCTTGAGTATTGCAGCATTTCAGTGAATTCTGCCTTTGAGTGAATAATGCTGGCTTGCTTGAAATTGCACCCTGTGGACACAGGAACATCTCCTACTAATCTCTTGTTGAGTTTGGGAAGATTGCAGCAAGGCCAGGCCATGGGAAACAGTCTTTCAAGCAGAAAGGGGAGGAAGGATGCATTTGCAAAATCACTCTTTCATTCGTTATTATGGAATAAAAGATAAGCCCCAAACTTTTCATCTTTTGCCTTGGAAGAGCTTGGGAGTTAAGAAACAATTTGCCCCTGAGCTTAGAGAGAAGACTTCAGTAGTATCTAGGCTGGTTGTATCTCACATAGGGAAAGAGCTGCTTTGTTTTCTTTCTCTGGAATTGCAAGACTGACATTTGAAAGAAACCACAATGCACAATTAGCCAAGCATGCAGCTATTAGGATGTGCCAAAACTGAGGCTTTGCACTTGACTTCCACTCCACATTCCTCACCTCTGGGAACCAGCATTACGATGCTATTTACATAATCACAGAATTTCCCTAGTACGACTGTATCCTTTTCCCCACGCACCATCAATCTGTGTCTATGTTAGATCAGGAAGTAAAGGCCATGCCAAGGACATACCTAGATTCACCAATAATAGAGGGAGAGGAGAAAAACAAAGAAATCTAAATTTTAGAGGGTGGAGAGGATTAATTCTCACTATCTCATTTTTCTTTGCAAAGAAACCCACAGTGAAAACAAACCCTTAAATAATAGCCAGTAATTGGAAGAAAAACACTTATCTAATGTCTGGTGGCACTGAAAATGGAATAAAAATTATTTAGTAGACATTTTGTATCTGTCTTAGGGACTATTACAAAGTAATGCATATGCAGGTTGCTCTCCAGCTGCAGAAAATACAACTAAAATGTAATCTGAAAAGCAGATTTTTCCTAATGCTACTAGTTTACAGTAAAATTCAAAAAAAAAAAAAAAACAACAAAAAAAAAAGAAGAATCTCATTTTTCAGTGAGTCCATAAGCAGGGACCAGAGTGGGAATGATGAGCAGGGATGGGGAGGTATTTCAGTGGTGTTGCTGCTTAATATTGAACCCTGGTGTGAAGTGGCAAAGACAGCACGATTCAAAGTGAGGAAGAAAGGGATAAGCACACGCACACAGAAGCAGAAAGGAGGGGGAAAGCAGCCTAATCAAAACTAACAGCAGGATTTCTGCCTGCACTTCAAACTGAGAGCAGATAAAACCCTTCATTTTCAGTTCTTGAAAGCAAACCCCTGGAGTTCATGTGGACAAGTGCTCTGCAAAGAACTACCAATCCTTTGAATTCAGTCATTTGTTGAAGAACTAACCTCCTTCCACCTCCCTGAACATCTTTCCCCATTCTCAGTCATTTACTCATTAGTATCACTATTATACACTTACTGACCTTTTCTATGACAAACTCAAGCATTCAGTTTTGTAGCCTGAAGGCTCATTACCCATACTCATTTTAGGTGACTTCCCACCTCCTCTCTCCTCCCCACTTCGAGCTGTCTGCTGCTTGAACCACATCTTTTCAGAAGTCTAGGTTTTCATCTCTTCCTTTTTTTTGTTAGAAGTTATCTGCACCTCCCAGCTTCACGTTCATTCTAGTCTGATGAAACCACTTTTTCCCTCAGCCATATTTTACTAATTTAGGGTCAGCATAACCGAAGCCATTTGGGAACTGACATAATAGGGACAGGAATCCAAGTGAGACTTAGAGGAACCTCCAGAAAGTCTGGACAACCCCTTGAAAGTCAGCAACTCTTGAACTTGACTTGTTCAGGCACTTTGGTGCATTGCGTTTGCAGCACATTCCTTTTCGTACCCAAATATCACCAGGGCCAGACTCACAGTAACCAACAACACACAGGAAACAGTAACAGGGTTGTAAAACCCCAGAGCATGCCCAGCACCAAGTCAGGATTCCCAAAATTCGTCATTCTTTGCAGAAAGACACAACCAGGAGAGAAAAGGTACAGGCCAGATTTTCAAAAGCTTGCTGGCATACTTCAACATGGACATCCAACTCTCAGTGCTTTAACCACAACACATCCATCATGCAGGAGAGAGGAAATCTCACCAATCTTCAGTTTGCTATTGAAATTTGAAAAAGAAAGACACTTTCTGCTGGTATTTTTGCAGAAGATATGATTAGTTTCATGCTGTCTTGCAGCACGATTAAGTACAATGTAAGGATAATAATTAAGTGAATTCTATTGCTAGCTGTCACAAGTGATAAATACAATGCATAATTAAACAAGCAGCACCTAGACTGCCTGCAGAAAACAATTATTTAGTGCTTTCATTAGGACAGACTCATTTCTCTCACATTTTTTTTCACAAATCCACTGAAAAATCAACAGCTTTATATTAGATCCTGTGGCCATACCTGCCCAGAGAACAGACCCAACATGCACCACCAGACAAGTGCCCACCTTGTGAGTACAGAAGGATCTGCATCTCCAGAAGAACGCAGGTGAAAACCTGGACCAGGTTCTCCAGGCCCAGCAGCTCGAAGACCTCCCGCAGTGGGTAGTCAGAGAGCGGTAGCTCGTTGGGCCCAGGTCTCTGGCAAATGATGGGCTCGTAAACCCCATAAAACTTCAGTGACCTCCCCGGGGGTGGCAGGGGCACCTCGTAGAGGATGTTGTGGATGTAGCTCTCCAGGGGCAGAGGAGGTGGCTGCTGGGATGTCACTGCCTTATAGAGCTGTATCAGGAACTTCTTGCAGGCTTGCATGAAGGGCAGAGGGGTGATGAGGCAAATGCATTTGGAGACGTACAGTGTGTCTCTGCTGATGTCATAGGAATTGTACCGCTGGAGCTTGGTGAGAGACGTGGCATCGCCCTCGTCGATGCTGCTGGCCAGGGAGTCCATGCTGCATGAGGAAGAGGCGCAGACACTGCTGTATTGCTCTGCATTGTGCATCTGGTAGAGTGTTTGCATGGCTGTGCAGATCTGCTTGCTTGTGACCTCCTCATAGAACGTGAGCACAAACCCATACGTACGAGAGCCATCTTCTCTGGTGATGATGAACGAATGGAGCTGTGGATCTCTGTTGTCTGCCTGTGTCCTGAAAGACAACCCTTTGGGCATACACAGCTAAGAAAAGAGAAAAGGAATAAATGCAATTATCAAAGCTACAATTTTATTTCATTATTTTTGCTTTACAGCCATGTTCTTATCTACCATAAAAGCCATGCATCATGAAATATAACTCCTCTGTAAAGGAGCCCAACAACAAACAGCCTAAAACTGATGCTACTTAAAAGAAGAGGTAGACACGACTGAAGAAAGGAAAACATCTTCCAAAATGACCCATCTATTAAGTCATTACAACTAATTTTCATTACTTTGTGAAATTCTTTTCACTGCTGGATAGTCTTTATCTTATTTACTTAAGCATCATAGAAAGCATCCAGTTTTGTTTTTATTTGCGTATGTTGTGCTCACAGTTCCCTCAAATCAGAGAGCCGAGAAAGTATCTTATACCACTGAATTCAAATTACACAGACTTCTTGAAATTCTTTCATCTTCCCTAATTTTCTTGAAAGAAATGAACCCCAAAACACCCAACATTTGCCTGACAGATACTACCTTGACTTTCTTCCTTAAATGCAAAAAAAAAAGCTTAGATGAGGTGTGTGTATGCGGAAACACCCAAAAATCTATGAAAGCCTTGGTTTTTATTTACCACTCAGCAAAATCTTTTGCAGCGATTCTGCTACACTGTGTTTTTTTTTCCTGAAATACAGCCTTAGTGATAACTTGAGGCATTTTTCCAGGCATTACTCAGGAATTCTATCAGCCATATAATACAAAACAACAAACATGCAGCAAACTTGTTTGAATGTGCGTCAGCATGAAACTCTTTATGTTCTAGCTAAATCAGTATGTTTATAAACTAGGAACTAAAGCTTCCTTTGTACCTTCTATCTAAAGAAATAAAAGGAAAGAGCTTTCTTTTTGAAAGAAAGCTTTCAAAGTGTTCCTCCTGTTCCAAAAGGCAACATTAGAAGCCAGCTTTCCCAAGGGATGTGAACCTACCCATGACTGAGTGCATCCCCTAATGTCTCATCTTTACCAGAAGTAAATGATTCTGATGGTGGAAGAGATCGAGAGAAATAATTATACATTTTCAGGCACATCCTACCCTGAACTTCACCAGTGCACCTTGCACAGACCATCTGACAGCCTGATAAAGCTGCTACCAACCCAGCTGGGATTTAGGCACTTCAGGCTCCCTTCACAACATATAGCAAGCCTCTAAGTTATCTGAGGTAGCTCGCATTCATTGTTCTAAAAGGTAATGTATAGGGAAATAAGTAGCTTGGAGTTGGTAGAATTTAATTCAGTTGATGGTCTTTGCTTACATATAGCATGGAATTGCAGCTGTGCACCAAGCTGTGTGGTTCAGTTGAGTCGCTGGAGGGAAGGAATGCCATCCAGAGGGACCTTGACATGCTTGTGAGGTGGGCTGATGCCAACCTCGTGAAGTTTAACCATGCCAAGTGCAAGGTCCTACACCTGGGTCGGAGCAATCGCAGGCACAGCTACAGGTTGGGCAGAGAAGAGATTCAGAGCAGCCCTGCGGAGAAGGACTTGGGGCTGTTGGTCAATGAGAACCTGAGCATGAGCCGGCTTTAGTGTGTGCTCGCAGCCCAGAAAGCCAACCGTATCCTGTGCTGCATCAAAAGGAGTGTGACCAGCAGGTTGAAGGAGGTGATCCTGCCCCTCTGCTCTGCTCTCTGAGACCTCACCGGGAGTATTGTGTGCAGTTCTGGTGTCCTTAACATAAAAAGGACATGGAACTGTTGGAACACGTCCAGAGAAGGGCCGCGAGGATGATCAGGGGACTGGAGCACCTCCTGTATGAAGACAGGCTGAGAAAGTTGGGGCTGCTCAGCCTGGAGAAGAGAAGGCTCCGTGGAGACCTCCTAGCAGCCTTCCAGTATCTGAAGGGGGGCTATAGGGATGCTGGAGAGGGACTCTTCATCAGGGACTGTAGCGCTAGGACAAGGGGTAACGGGTTAAAACTTAAACAGGGAAGTTTAGATTGGATATAAGGAAGAAATTTTTTTTTGTTAGGGTGGTGAGGCACTGGAATGGATTGCCCAGGGAGGTTGTGAATTCTCCATCCCTGGCAGTGTTCAAGGCCAGGTTGGATGAAGTCTTGGGTGATATGGTTTAGTGTGAGATGTCCCTGCCCATGGCAGGGGGGTTGGAACTTGATGATCTTAAGGTCCTTTCCAACCATAACTATTCTATGATTCTATGAACCATTTCTGAAGAGCAGCCACATTTTCATTGAAAAGGTTTATTGTTTTTATTGAGGCATTAACAGCAGTGCCATGGTTAAGACTTCTCAAATAAAGAAGTAGTAAAAAATCCTTGTTTCAGACTTTATTTTAATTTATTCTGCATAAGAAAATATTTAAATCTCTTTTTTTGGCAAGCTTGTTTAACAAAAATATATTTCTAGAATGTAGGCATTTAACTGCAGCTATAGCTTTATCAAATCCAATCAGACTGAAATCACAGGTTTTAATCTCAACGCTATCAAAGACTGTCTTTCCTTTTTTTACAGAAAAATACCCGGATAAGGGAATTGTACATAATGATACAATCAAGAACAGACAGGCATCAGGGAAAATCAGACCTGCTGAGAGTGTTTCAGAAAGCTGTTTTAAATAAATTTCCTCCAAGTCTTAATTATTATTCCTTTGTGCTTTATACACTGTGCATACACACACAAAGGGACACCCACCTATTACATTTCAGCCACAGCGCCGCATATACAGACTATCAACATTTTAACACCCTGCTGCAAACCCTGGCACAGGCTGTTGTTAGACCTACAGGAGGACAAAGGGAAAGGCAAAGAAAGAAAGAAGATGGGAAGGGAAGAATGACCAAGAGTCACTTAAGAAGCTAAGATCAAAAGCAAGGCCCTGTGCTCTCTTTCCAGCAATACAGAAAGCTTCAAATTCGCAGTTAACGCATGAAAACTTTCATCTTAGTGCCCTGGACATCAATCACTTCTCATCTCGTCTCTGTCACATGTGCCACTGGACAGTGTTGGGGAAGAGCAGGCATGGGGCACGCTAAGAGGGTTGAAAAGCTTTGCCTGCTGGTGAAGTTGACTGAGAAGGCAGTCACAGAAAGTCACCCACCTTTATTGCACCTTTGTATAATGACAGAAAACTATCCAAGATTACTGATTAAAGGAAAGGATTTTGGTTCTCAGAGCATTTTACTATTTATATTTAAACATATCCATCAGCAGAAAAAGGTGGAATAAATCATACTTGCAATAAGGCTTATACTCAAGATGGGTCTGCAAAAACAAAAGGAAGCTTCACAAAGTCAGACAAAAAGATACCAGTTAACCCATATCCCATTTTTAGAAGTGATGAGTAGGAGATGCCCTTTCCCTAAATGTAGAGTCAGGAGAAACACAAACTGTAATCCCTCCCTCCTTCCTCCTCCCAGCCATCATCCATTGCAGATATTTCTGAACCAAAGGCTCCCTCTGGACCCACTGCCCAGTAGCATTGGTTCACCTCTTCTCTATTAGATCCTCTATTTCACTTTTTAAGTCCCTGTATATTTTTCATGTTTACAATACGCCACAGCAGCCAGCTCCATACCCAAACTGCACCATGGGTGAGAGGGTGGAGTGAAAGATGCTTTCGTCTGTAAGCCTGCTCTTTCAAATTACACCAAGGAACCTTTAATTCTTTTATTTCAGTACATGAGATGTTAAACAGAAAATGCTTCCTCGGACTTCAGAAATACAGTCAGAGATTTATATACCTTGACAAACCATACAGCTAAAATAGGAGGTTTATTTCCTAAAAAATTCACTTTGCTCTCTCCTGAGAACTTAAGTTTGGTACAACACATTACTTCAGAGTGGCTACAGAAGACAGTACGTGACATTAGGCAGGGATAATCACAAAAAGCAGTGTGGGGTGGAAAGAAATACTTCCCTATTAAAGAGAACTCTGTACTTTGATATATACTTTGAAAGGGAGAGAAAACATGACTTGTAGTCAGTGTGATTTCTTGGGACTTCAAGGATTATTTTTAAAGTGACAGGATGGCTTCAGAAGGCAACTGAAATTCCTTAGGCATTCAGCAAGGCCAGAATTCTCACAAGTTAACCTTCAAGGATTTATGCATTTTCTTCTTTGAGGAAAATTGCTTCTGGAAGCTCACATAAAGCAAACACATAGGCAGAACTAATGCAGCAAGGTAAGATCAGAAAGGCCAATAATTGCCTCAAGGGATTTTGTGGAGGTGGATATTACTTTAAATGATGTTTCAGATCAAAACAATAAAGCAGTTTTCCAAAAGATGATTTAAAAGACCATTAAATACTGCTGCTGTTAGTAACTGCTTTTTTTTTTTCCCTCCAAGACACACTGCAAATGAAAGACATGTTCTTCAGCTATTTGATTTCAGCTGAATGCAGCTCAGTTCAATTATTTTATTTTAATAGGTTTCCTGCTGATTTTAGTATTCCATTTTTGTCCAATAATATGATCACACTTCATGAATACTAGACATTTTCATCTGTAACGTAAGAGACAAATAATGTAGCAATTCCAGCTATTACCTCTTGCTGCCATATTCCTGCTGCACACCCCTCACATCACTTCTCCTCCGAACACTCCCAATTCAAAGGCAGAATTAAAAGGCACGAATAGCCTTAGTAGCTATTACCATCTGAACTGTGCTGATGAAGCATCATTTTGAGTCCTTCATGCTTTCTGTTTAAGAAAAGTGATGTGGAGACCTGCTCAAATACCTCACCATCTCCATCAGTGCACATTTGGAAGCAGAGGACAGAAATCCCCAGCTGTCAATCAGTGGAAATTGAAATTAACTTCAGATTTCTACACCTTAATGATTGCAGAGAAGTTCCAAAAGCATTTTGCATTGCAAAAGCCATTTTATTGTGGGTTTTATGTGATCCCTGTCCCTCTATCTCCTGGGTGAGGGCCAGGAGATTCTCTGGACTTCACACCTTCACTGTACAATGAGGTTCATTCTGTTGAGAAGTAGCTAGGATGTAGTCCAGTGGATCATAGTTCTTTCAGCTGCCACTGTCCCTACTCCTCTCTCCCCTATTCATGTGACTTAGCCACACAGATACATCAAATTTAGCCAAGAGGAAAGACATGTACAGAAGTTGTATTGGTGCAGAGATGCCATTAAAACCAGCTACCCAACAAAAGCTGGGGTTTTGGTAAGTTCCAGCTTCTGCATAAAGATTCCTCTTTCCCTTGCTGTACACAGCATCAAGATTTGTGTACTCAAAAATTTCACATGGGTATTAGTATCGTAAAAATTCCTTGGTTAGTCTCCTTCTCACCCACAGATACGTATCCTGGTGACTACATCTCTTCTCACCCAGTCATTGAGATGGTGGCTAGAACTGCTTCATCACACAGTATGAAACTTGAATTGAAGAGAGAAATGCAGCATTTTACATTTGCTGTGCCTGAAAGTATTCTGTATTTTCATATTACCTCTTCCACAACAGCTTTTCAACCAGCATGCCTAGTGCGTGCTCTTAGTCCCCGCAGAAACACCTTGCTCATCACATCACAAGGACTGGTTGCAAACAACCCAGGAACCACTCGAGTGTTGAAGTTGTCAGGAAACACCTTAAGAAGAGAGTTTCTCTACCTACCATATTGACAGCATCCTGGTCAAAGGGGTTCCACTCAATGTTCTGAGGATAATGGGCCAAAACTTTGGACTTGAAGGTTCTTCTTAAGGGACTCTGGTCGAAATTCTCTCCTGCAACAAAGGAAGAAAGAATGATTTGTCACAGCAGTAAGGCTTCAGAGAGAGCTGGCCGGGGCAGCTGCTTTCACTTCGTGGTTGGGATGGGTTTTTTTTGTGAAATCTGATGGGCATTTTCTCTCCCAACAGATGCACTACTTCTTGTAAAAGAGAACAGAGAAAAGATGCGCTTTCAGTCTGACCTTCCCACAAAATCTTACTACAGTTACAGAACAGCTTCCAGCTTAGTATTTATGGTATGGAAACTTACTGTTAAGAGAAAAATTACTGCTGGAGTTTTCTTGAAGAAGACCCCATATCTAACTGAATTCTTCACCTTCCCCTGTAGCTTGAATACCTAGCGATAGCTTTACCTACACGCTAGAAGAGGCACTTCCCTCAAGTTTGTTAGAAACTGTCTTGGGGTCAATAAAAGGTATGAGCACCTCTCAGCTCTATAAATTATTCAAGGAATCATTATAGATCTTTTTTATATCCCAAGTCCTGGGTGAAGATTAAACATTTCTTTTTTCTACATCAAATTTCAAGGACAGACTTTTTCACACAAAGAATCCAGCAAGTGCAAAGAAGATTGAAATTAGACTTCAAGCAGAAATGCATCCAGTTATCAGCATACAAATAATGTATTTCACAGGGATATTGTTAATGGAGTTTCCACCACTGGATAGCCTACAGCATGCAACACAGTAATCAAAACAAGAAGTTCTTAAAAATCTATTAATTGTATTACCATCTACTACACTTTTCTCAGGTATCTCAGGTTACTAATTTCAGGTTCCTTGCTTTAAAGACTACAGGTGGATCTTTCCTGTTCAGTTCCCTTCTCACCTGAGAGAAACGAATGGGATGAAAGCCTTAAGTTCACAATGTGAAGTGTTTTCCATGAAATCATGCTTTGAAATCAAAGGCTCCTTTTGGAATGCCTTAATGTTACCAAGATACTTTAAAAAATGTTACTGAAATAGAATTGGATTTCCTTTCTTAAAAACAAACAAACAAAAACCCCTCTGTATTTCATTATGTATTTCATTAATGAATGAATTAAAGGTTTTTAATGAAAGGTTATTTTGAATGAAAACATAATCACTTGGCAAGCTCCAAAGGCAATATTCCTGCAGAAAAGCTAAACTGCAAGCCACCAACCTCACTAACCCCCCTCTGAAGGTAACATGGCCTGCAGGAGTGCAATTTGTGCTTGCTGAATTGCGTATGTCAACTCAACCTTTGTGCAGCAAGCAGCCTCTGAGTGATGTTGCAAGATTCACAGCTCAGCAGCTACCCGAAGGTTTCTGAGGCCACAGGCCATTTGGCACATGCCCTTTGCTCCTTGTGAAGTGCAGTCTGGCTCAGAGTGAATTAATACAAGGAAATTTCTGTACAAAATGATACCTGAAAGCAGAGCTTCAGTCTTTGCCTGGCAGAACTTAGGATCTGCAGATAACTGTGGGGAACAAAAGGTAACAGAAAAACACAGTGGCTGCTCACAAGGCAAAAATTATCTAGGCAAAGTTTTAGGAGGGATGAAAACCATTCGTTGTAGGAATCCCTTAACACATGTTCAATGTAGAGGGCAGAACCTGTGCTGTCCCTCAGGGGCTGCAGTGCCAGGGCCATCACAGCAGTGACTGCACAAGAGGCAGGTGGAGGCAGAGGCGGTGAAGGTCAGGCATTCCTTACAGCAATACCAGCCACCGGCTTGGCTAGGAAGGGTTAGCAGAGGCTTGTGCTGGAGCTCCCCTCCACGAGGGCTTGCGTAGGCAGGCAGAAATTCCTCGAGATGAATGACTCAGCTGTGCTGGGACTGCACGTCTCCCTGCTGTATGAGCTGCTGCACTGAGTGAGCTCATGAGCCAGGTGGAGAAGAGGTAAACAGCCCTTCAAACAGCACTCACTCTCAAATTAATTCAGAGAAAGGGTTTTAAATCTTTTCCTTTCCAAGGCATCACTGAGATTTTAAACATACAAGTATTCTTATACAACAGCTCATTTTTAACACAGGATTCAGACACATTGCAGCATTAGTTTTTTGTAGCACTACGTCAGTCTTGCTCGATTTTAGTGTGTAACCATGGGGGAGAAAAGTAAATAAGCTTCTGCAAGAATATTCTCTGCTTGGTAGGAGAAAAAGTCCTAGATGATGCAATGCTGCACCCGTATTTCCTGGGCAGGAATAAATGGAAATGGTAAAATGAGGAGCACCTAAGAGAATTGCAAGTGTTTAGCCTGGAGAAAAGGAGGCTCAGGGGAGACCTTACTGCCTGAAAGGAGGTTGCAGCAAGGTGGGTATTAGTCTCTTCTCTGAAGTAAGAAGAGACAGGACAAGAAGAAATGATCTCAAGTTGTGCCAGTGGAGGTTTAGATTGAATTTTAGGAAACATTTCTTCACCAAAAGGGTTGTCTAGCACTTGAACAGACTGCCCAGGGAAGTGGTTGAGTCACCATCCCTGGAAGTATTTAAAAGATGTGTAGATGTGGCACACAGGGACATGGTTTAGTGGTGGACTTGGCAGTGTTAGGTTAACAGTTGGATTCAGTGATTTTAAAGGTCTTTTCCAACCTAAGTGATTCTGTGATTCTATGTGAGGAGCTTTCACAGTGGAATCCAGCCTGCTTCTGGAATTGCTCAAGGCAAACCAGGAATCCAGCAAAAGCTTATGCATCACAGAAATAAAGAAAACTGGAGGTATCAGCTAACCTGGACCAAATTAAAAGACATGACAGGGTTTAGCTGATAACATCTGCCAGGCTGGACCAGACTTGCTATTAGCTGCTATGGCAGTCCAGAGCACAAGCTCCACAAACACCTTCTCCACGCTCCATTACAAAGCTCAGACTGAAGTACACAACACCAAAGGTCATTACTCTGGCAGAACATGACAGCAGAGCAACCTCTTATTTTGGTCCAGATGTTCTGTGTGGAGGCATTAGAGACAAAGATATAATGTCATCCACCACAAAATAAAAATCCCAACAAGCAAAGCCAGCAAAAATTCTCTCTCCAGGTATACACTTAAACATACCTGGCAACATCTTTAATTCTTACTATCAAACAGTAATTAATGGGCTTGCATAATCAAATAAATATGCATGAGGTTACTTCCTAATTAGATCTTCAATCTTTCTCACATCTGACAGAGTTTACCTTACAGCTGTGAATCAGCAGAAAGGCAGGTATTTGATGCTAAATTTGTTTGGATGTTTCTATTAAATGTTCGAAGAGCATCTGGATGACTTCATTAAGTTCTCCACCGCTAACAGCAAGTAATTGCTGGAGTCCAAATTTCTTTAAAGGTTTCCTTTATTGTGACAAACCATTACTGTAACCTGGTGGATGCTGATTGGGTAATTTGTGTGGTTCAGAGGCACTCAACACTGCTGCAGTTCACTGGTTGAGCCCTTCACAGGTGCTGTGGGGGCCAGTTTTTGACCTATATCGTATGGGTGTTGTAAAAACACCTTCCTCTTGAAAAATAGCTCCCAGTGATGACAGTCAACAACTAAATGATTAATCACCTTGGCATTAGAACATAACTGTAATAGGGACTGCAGCAGCAATGCGCATTAATCACGTTGTTTACTGTTTACAATGCCTGTGCTCACTTACAGGCACCACAGAAACTGAGGGAGGCTTTGCCCTGTGCTCTGGGTGTGCTCAAGAGAGCCCTGCCTTCAGCACACCTAAGATGCAGCATTTCAGGGAATGTGGCTGCGTGTGCTTAGATCGAGTAGGAGAGTAAACCTGCTTTCTCCTAAATAGCTTCCACAAGCACCCAGAGGTGGAGGTGTATGTGCAGACAGTGTTACCTATCTGTTCTGGTAGCACAGCTTAAGCTCGTGGTGGAGCAGAGAGGGCAGATGCTGCACGGTGCTAGCTGCTGTCTTGCCTTAACGTGTCCTCTGGCATTAAAGTGGCACCGGCAGACTCTGGAAGCACGTCAGAGTGCTCAGAGATGTTAGGGAAGTGGTCCTGGAAGGCTTCTCCATGGGAAACTATCCCCCCTAGTTTGGTGGCTCAATTACTAATTAACCCTTAACAACTTTATCCGGTAGAGAAAGTTGTATTTATTTCCAAGTTACACCAAAATCTCCATCTCTGGAGATGTAAGAGCAGGGAAGGCCTTGATTTCTTGCAGTTCTTGTTATTGAATATCCTTCCTCTCACATTTTCCCTCCATTTTGACAGGCAATACTCTGGCAGCAGCTGGAACCAGTGGAGGAGAACAAGGAGTATTTGCTAATAATCCACTGTAATCATGAAAAATTGAGGCTTTCAATTGGCTTTTGGAAATAACCAATAATTTGTATGCTGCTGAAAATACCCATCCAGTTGTTTCGACAACAGACGTGGCTAAAACCTTTTGTTAATGAAGCACTAGCACTGCTTTAAGAAACCCAGCTTCCCAAAACCAGCAGTAAAAATGCCCTTGTAGGCTGACAACATGGATACATTTTATCCAGAAAAGTAAATGGCACAAAGAACTCACCTTTGCAGAGTCTCTGCAGGGTCTGCATTTTACTATGCCAGTGGTTTTTAAAAGTATATAAATTAAAACACACACACACACAGAAAATATAATTTTCTCAATCAGTGATCATGAAACAAAAGAGAAGAGCCAAGAAAGCACACTGGAGTGGATCAATTGGTCATTAGCTTGAAAGGACACAACATGGCACCCTACATACAAAGTTGCCTCCTGGGAAGCCAGGCAGGGCAAGCTTTTAGAGGATATCCATAATTTAGGAAAGAAAAAGTAAAAGGGTATGACAGAAAGCAGCCTGCATGTCAGGGTGAAGTGCCATCGTTTGGCCAAACTAGCAGGAAACAGCCCAACTCTCACCATGAGATGAGAGATACGGACTGTGACAGCCAGCTCCACACTGACAAGCAGCTGGAAGAGAATCACAGGAAGCAAAAACTTCTTGGCAAACATGAGGGAAGGGATCTGGACTGAAGGGTACCTGATATTATCAGCTCTCAGCCTTGGTAGCTGTGAACTGCTGAGTCACATGTGGCAAGAAACATTTATTTAGCTGTTATTCTAGGCAAACAGCGAATTTCCATTAAATCTACTATGTGCTTTTAAGTGCTTTCCTGCTAACTTCCCAAACAGGACTAGCAAGGCACATTAAAAATGAAGCAAGTATCAAACACAAATTGAATCCGTATTCTAAAATATTCATGGCCAGATAAGAGTACTATGAATACAGACAGAAACACGGTACTTGATGCATGGCCACCCTTCATACAAACAGCATGTCTCATTGTGGAAGATGGCTCTCAAAGGCAAATAAAAAACTTTGAATGGAATCCTTTCACTTTCAGAATATTAAAAATAAAAAGTCGTTCAAGTACTTTTCAAAATTGCATAGAAAGTGTCAGACTCAAGTTCCATTTCAGCTGGGTACTACAGCCTATGTAACAGAGCTTTGAAACAACTTCTGCCTTCCCTTTGAAAGCACTCATTTTTAAAGGGAGATTTAGTTTCAAATGAAAAGCAAATGGGGATGGATGCTAGATCAAGAAAACTGTGCTAATTTCATTTCAAAATGAAAAGATTTCTCAAAATTAGAAAAACAAGCCTGATCCATGTTTCGGATGAAGGATACAATTACCAGGGAAATGCAGCTACAGTTGTGAGGTTGTCAGTCACTATGGCTTTCATGTGGGTGATCATATTTAAATTTTAACTAATTATCACAGCTATAGAGGCATACAAACATACTTTCCAAATAGGCAGAGGCATCCTCCACCCATAGCCATACCCTCTGGTCCAGGGAATGTGAGCTATCTGTTGCTCCTTCCAAGCTCTGGAACGTGGAGAGGAATGCTTGTGACTACAGGAGTAAAAATATCTTTTGTTCCTTTAGAGGAGCGTACTGGGAGCACAATTATGCACCTCATGGTGACAGCCTCTTTGATAGCTATTTCTAATTAAAAGTGTTCAGCACATCCAGCTATGTTCTTTCCCTGCAGACTGCACTTCCTTAAGCTTATGGGATAACTGCATGCATGACCCTGCATTAGAATCAATATACAATGTTTGAGTGGGAACAGGAATAACAGGGCTTGGCTGGGGAACGACTAAGCTGTTAATTGTCAGGTTCAGGAACTGGCTAGTTTAAGTAGTGCAGAAAGTGTTCTCTGCTGCTTTTCTTCTGGGCTTCACCAGGACACCAAGGGGGCAATGGCAGGCTAGTTGGAGTTCAAGGTAGTATTTGTGGCCATGTATTAACTCATAGTAGTATTAACCCAAAGGTAGTGTTTGTGGCCACATATTCTCATAACCTTAGAGCAAAGGAGAAAAATTATATGGAAGACAGGACTGGGACAAGGCAGACAGTTTTCATTCCAAAATTTAAAGATCCGATTTGTCTGTAAGATCGTGGCAGCTTTTGCAGGGGTTAGGGAGGGAGCAGGGTCTAACCTACCTCTTGCATGTCAATATGTAAAGGAAGTGATGGATCATATTTAAGCAGGAAGCCATAGTGGTTGTGTACCCTATCAATACATCTAAACGATTAGGCTTTTTCTTGGTGTATGTCTGTGTGGACCCCACTAACATTGCTATTTAAGCCTAGACTGCAAAACATGCTTCCTTGAGGTGTCAGGAGCCTTTGAGTTTTTGTAGCAGAAATTGGTGAAGCTGGACCTTCCAGTACTCTTTGTTCACAAATGCGCATAACTAAGCTTAGTAGGATTGCTGGGTAAGTATCCTTTAATACAGCCTCACACAAGGTATTGTTCAGTCTTTATCAAGCACACAAAAATCCAGCATATCGTATAGCCACCAATACACCCGACACCACTAGTGGCATTTTGTTGGAAAGGGGAAGCACATCTGCCAAGACAGCTTCAAGAAACAGAAAAAAATTACCAGATACTGATTTAAATTAGGTAAAAGAATGAAAAAGTCCATGAGTTTTGGTTTCAGTTTTGAACTCTGATCCTTAATTTGATTCAAGGGGAGTTGGAAGACAGAAAACAAAGAGATAGAGAAGGCCTGGTGATTGTTTTGTCCTTAATCCCTCTTTACCTGAGGTTTTGTCTGCAGTATCTGAGCTCTTGCCATGGAGTTCTGCTTCTAGCCATTTGTACAAGACTACACAACATAAGAAACAGAGATAAAAAAAAAGCAAGTATGAACAAAATGAAAAGATACACAAATGTACTGGGGAAGGGAAGAAATGTGAAGCAGACATAAAACACTCCCCCTTTGCAACCTCTCTTCCCCCCCACTACTGGCAAAGGGTAAACCCATGTGACAAATAAAGCCCTTCACGATTGTATTACTACAAAGGTGTTGAATGCAATGACAGACATTGTAGAAATACTTGTCAAAATTAGTAACAAGATTAAATTCTGCTACTTCAAACAGCACGCTTCCATGCAGCTTCCCTATTATGAAAGACATCTTTGTTCATATATTGAGCCATTCCAGAGCCTATGAAATGCAGGGGGAAAAAACACCAGCTCTTTAACTGGTGTTGAACACTTTGGTGTAAAGACAAGAAGTTTTCTTTAGTATCACACTGTTAAACTGTGTTGCTACACCTTCAGTGCAGCACTGCATACCATTTTCAGGGCTTACTGAAGTTACCTAATAGCCCTATTCATCATTTCTGTCTCATAACAGGCTGTTTTTAGACTAAAATTTGAATAAATAAACTCTGTTTAGAACCTGGATGAACAATTTTAATCTCTTCCAGTAAAAGCTAACCCAGTAGGCACTTTTAACAGAAAAGCGTCCTACTAACACGTCTGAATTTTCTTCCAACTGGTTTGCTCATCTCCTGCAGGAAAACAAAAATGCTTTCACAGACACCATGGCATTCCTTTGTAAAAAAATATAATTCCCAAATCCCATTTGCACTCCACAATGCAGCATTACACAATCCTCCTCAAGTTAAATCTATTTTTATAAACCTGAAGCACATGTTGAAGCTGCAACACCATTGGCCTGTCTGGTCATTCAGTTTGTAGGTGTAAATTCAGAGTATTTCCACCGTGACCTCCTACTTCAGCTGTTAATCCAAGTACCAGTTCAGCGGATCCAGAAAATGCTGCCAAGTCTGTGTCCTGGGAAGGCAGTCCTCGAGGGCACAGGAATGCTTTCAATACAGATTTTTAGAAGAGAATTTGTATTTTAGGATAATTTTCTCATTTCTTCAGGACACACCTGAAGGTAACCCACATTTCAATGTGCAGGATGATGTCTTCCCAATCCAAGTGTCTCAAGCTATTTCATTCTACTTTGGAGCTGTTTGAACTTCAAAGTTGCATAAATATTTAAATTAAAGGAAACAAAACAATTGTCAAAGCTCAAGACTCCCCTTGCTAATGGCCCACACCTACACTGCCCTTACAAGCCTCTTTGCCAGACTGCCCTCACAGGTCTCCCCAAAAGTCCTTTACAACATTATCATTCAAAGTGAATTTGGTACCAAGCTTCCACGGACTTAGCCAGCACCTCTGCAATAGGAAGAGCAAAAAGGAAAAATGGAAAAACTCATGAAGGGATGGACAACCAGATGCACTGGCACAGGTTCTGCTTTTGCTACCCATTTCAGTATTATGACCATATATCATCATCAATCATATGGCTAACCATTCACAGAAGGTATGCAAAAACTTCTGCACAAGGAGTCAAATGAAAGAAGATCATTGACACCAGTGATATAAACGCAGAGCCACGACCACTGTTGTACAGCCTAATTCTTCACACAAATACACTGCAATGAAATACAACTATTGTCACAAACGAATTACGCTTAGCAAAGGCTCAGTATTTAAAATACGCTTTAAAAAATATTTGTTCACCTAAAAGAATATTGCACAAGTCTAAATAAAAAGGCTCTAACATGAGCAGTTTATTTTGCCATGATCCCTTCCTTCTGACCTTGATTAAATACTTAACTATCTGCCTACAGAGTAACATTATACAGCACCAACAATGTCAGCTCTTAAAATAGCCACAAGTCCCAGCTGCCAACAGACCACAGAGTCTCCACTACACTAGCAAACAAGTAAGAATTACACCATCTCTTTTACATAAAATTGCATCATAATCTTGTCAAATCCTGAAAGTCATGAATTAAATTACATCAGTTTGGGTGATTATTTCTGGTGGGGTGGAGGGAGTTTAATAAACAGGTATCTGAGGTTCAGTGATCCTACACAATCACCTTGGAGTCTGTCTGCAAAGGCTGGAATTTAGCAGCAGGAAACAGTGGAACAGGTATAAAACTGGACCTATACTTACAGGGAATTTATTTTCTCTAGAAATCAGGATGTGTGGAATTCACTTACTCTGTTCATGCTGCCGTGCAGTCTTTCCAATCACGAGCTCCTAAACCACTACTAGGTGATATACAGAAAGCACGTCCCAGAGCTCCTTGGTCTATCCTGTTTATATACCGGAAGTGGAATGCTTTATTTCTTATAGCACTTTATACACAAATTCATTTTGAACACTTGATATGGAAGAAATGAGCATTTTTCCTAATGGAGAAAACAGTCCAAACAGTAATTAAAAGTTCATTTAAGTTTCATACATCATTCTTCTTAGATTGCTTGACACCATTTTGGTTAGTTACATAGAAAATGAGCAACGTACATACCGACATGGAACTGAAGGGCTTGAAATCTCAGTTCCCAGAGGAACATTAAACTTGGCAGCGTGAAAAGTGTTCAAGCAAGAGCAAGACATCAGCTCAGGTTCTTAAACACAGCAGGACGCCAAAGCATGAACACAGACTGAACACAGAATGAGGCATCCAGTCATGCCTTCTGCACAGGATCCCTTTCATACTTCTGTTTTCTACTCATTTACAGGGCAGGATCTAATTCAAATGTGCCAAATTTCTGTGTTAAAACATGATGCTGCATTCTCACACTGGTTTTGGAAACAGGCACTCACAAACATTTTCAATTCAAATGCATCTTAAAGCAGGTTTTGTCCTCTATTCCACCGGGACAGAGGTAGTACAACAGTCCTGTCCCAAGATACGCTTTATTAGAGTTGGCATTTCTGGAGAAGAGTAAAGAAAAACCCCAACAAAACAAACCACAACCAACCAGAACATGTCATCCTAAAAATCCCTGTACTATTACTGTTTAGGTTTGTGTGCAAGAATGCAGGAAAGAAAGGGGAATTTTTCAGTAAATTTTGCTTTGGGGTTTTATTTTCACAATTATAGCACATTCAGTTATCTTTTAAATGGGGCTGTGTTAAGATAGATGCACATAACATCATGAACCAATATCAGTCTCCCCTGACACACAAGGATGGCAAGTTTCAGGTGTTTTGTTACATGAAGTTAGAAGCAGTTTCATCAAAGCTGTGTTTGTATCACAGCAGAGCATGAATACACTCACTGATAACACCTTCTGCCACCCTAATTAAGCTCTGCCTGCAAATCAGTACAAGAAAAGACAGAAACTTCATTTGGCCTGAGCCATTTTCAGCACTAATCAACTTTGACATAAACAGAGCACAAAAATGCCCATCCTGCAGCTTGAATAGTCAGCTGTGCCTGATTTAGGGTTCTGCTCTTTAGCAGCTTTCTTTTTACCTATCTTGCACAAGCTGAAGGCCTCAGCTCCCTGAACCTATCCCTGTCACACTGGGCAATAGATTTCTCTGCTTAAGGTAAACCCTTGTTTTCCAATGTCCCCTCGGTGCTGAGCCACAAGGAGGATCCCAAGGACTGTGACTGGTTTTTAATCGGCCCTCCTCAGGAGCACAGGCTGTGGTGACCAGAAGGAAGCTATCCCCAGTTTCAGAAGGTGGCTCTTCTTCAAACAGCACAATCCACACAACCCAACAGTGGCACTTGAAGTTGGCTACTTCAAACACCCTGAGCACAGACAGCGTCTTCACACTTCTTGAAGAGCCAGCCCACACATGTGAAGTTCAAACAGCTGGTGTTATCAGTGGGGCAAGAGGTGGTTTTAGAGAGGGTGGACACTGAAATAGCTCCTCACTGTACCAAGTTACTTTTTTTGCATACCCTCTACAAGCAAAGGGTTACATCAAGGCAATGCTTGTTTATCAAAGGCTGCAGCTGCTAAGCTTTATGAAAACTTAGTTATATGTGGTTTTGATGGGAAAAGGGGCAGGCAAAGAAAGAACTTTGCTTCTTGTAGTCAGAAAAGCTCTTTTATCAGCACAAAGCAGAAACACTCCCTTGTGTAGCACAAACTGATTTTGTCTTGGGTTTTTGGAGAAACTGCCATTTAAGCTGCTGCCAATAAAGAATTGTCCTTATGACAGTCTCCAAGAGCCCATCTTCTGCCAGTTTTCAACAACTGAATCCTTTCAGAAGAAGAAAGGACAAAAACTTTCTGCATGCTGAAAAGTCACAAGAACCTGCAGGCGAGTCTGGCAGTTACCAGAGCTCCCGGATGAAGAAGGGTGGTGAGCAGGAATGAAGATGCAGGCAGACAAGTACCCACTGCCCACACAGCAGTATTGGTATTTACGACTGATACTGCCACTAAAGAGCTACCCAAGGAACCATTTCAATCTGGAGATTGCTCTCAGCTGTTTCAGCCCAGCTGTACTACAATAATTGGAGATCAGCGTATTGCGGCAAATGGTTCTACTGTGGGCAAACTGGCCACTGGAGGCAGAAGACATTTATACAACATACTGTATGATGCAGTTCTTATTAGCTTTGTCAAAAAACAACAATGAAGTTTTGTCAACTAAAAGCGTTAAGAGGCAAAAACACCATCATATTGAAAGGAGGATCAGATCTTGGAACAACTCAGTTAAAATACCTCTTCTGCCACAAACATCTTTGCAGGTACCTACATGTCTTGATCAACACCACCTGCATTTAGAAACTGTTTGAAGAACAGGCTGCTGCCAGTGAGTTTACACAAGGGATCATTAAGAAGCCATCAGTGCACAGCAATTGCACATCTAAACCACATGAAAAATATTCTCTATGCTTAAGCAAACCTTAAGTAAACCATGACTAGTTAAATACAGACAAAGCATAAACAATCAGATTTATGCTTTATCACTTCTGACCATTTTGTGGCCAGTTTCCAAGTCTACTGAAAATACGGAAAACTGAAACCAGGACTCAATCA